TCCCTGTTTTAGGAAGGATGTTGTGAAACTTGAAAGTGTTCAGAAAAGATGTACAAGGATGTTGGCAGAGTTTGAGCTATAGGGAGAGGCTGAACAGGCTGGGGCTATTTTCCCTGGAGCGTTGGAGCAGGAAGGGTGACGTTATGGAAGTTTGTAAAATCATCAAGAGCATGAAAAGGGAGAATAGCCAATGTATTTTCCCCAGGGTAGGGGAGTCCAAAACTAGCGGGCATAGGTTTAAAGTGAGAGGAGAAAGATTTAAAAGAGACCTAAGGGGCAACTTTTCCACGCAGAGGGTGGTGCGTGTATGGAATGAGCTGCCAGAGGAAGTGGTGGAGTTGGATACAATTACAACATTCATAAAGCATCTGGATGGGCATGTGAATAGAAAGGATTCAGAAGGATATGGGCCAAATGCTGGCAAATGGGACTGGATTAATTTACAATATCTGGTCGGCATGGACGAGTTGGACCGAAGGGTCTGTTTCCCTGCTGTACAGCTCTATGACTCTACTGACGACTCCTGCGACATTGAAAATTAACTAAAGTTGAATTCCTTTTAAGTTTCAATTGCTGGAGTTTTTGATTGTTTTTTTTTAAATTTCTTTCTGTCTATTTTCTCTCTCTTTTAATTCAATCTTTCTTTCGATCTCTTCTGTTTCTGTACATGGGATTCATCTACTCTGATTGGACCTTTTGGGTTTCACACTTCCTTATTCTGTCCACTCGGGTCCAAGATGCCAGGAACCCCCTTCCGTTGTTTATGTAAGACATGTAACATCCCAAGTACTTGAGGGAAAGGCTACACTATAAAACAGATTGATCAGAGGTTCCCTTTCAAAGCAGAATCTGGTCCGAAGGTGGAAAAACAAGTGGTCTTGCCCTCTGGTATTGCTGTGGCTCCTCCAAGGTCAGGAGTGTGATTAAAATTCCCAAAAGAATCCCTGCCCTGCCGACAAACCTTGTTGCGAAAGAAAGGGCTAGCGGAATGCAAGACTAAAACCTTGCAATGCATATTGAGGCAAAAACTGCATGGAAAGGCAGAACTAGCAACAAACTTACAGACAACCATGGAATTCTCAAGCAACTTAGAAGTGCTACATACCACTAAATAGCCAACTTCCAACTGACGAGACTGTATTTTGAGTGCATTTCTTATGATCAAGTCAACTACGAGTGAAGGGGCCCAGCCAGAAACTGTTAAATCAAGGATGGAGACTCATTTGCATTAGAGTCAGAGATTTAATGAGACTTGCTGGATTTGGCAACACAGCAGCCAAAGACTTAGAAAAGTGTTGCACTTTGAACAGCCACCACAGCTGCAATGCTAACACGCCCAAAGAGAATAGAAGGTATGAGAGTTCATCGATCTGAAACATTAACTCTATTGTTTCTCGCCACTGTTGCTGCCTGACCTGCTGAGTCTTTCTTTCTTTGTTTTTTTTTCCCCTTAATGTTTCCGTCTTTGCTGTCCAGTAAAGCTGGATAAGCAACAAAGGCTTGCATTTACGTAGTGCCCTTAAAGGAGCTGCAGCGAGGTGCACTGAGATTGCAGGGAGAGGTGAGTTTGTCTTATTGTGAGGAATAGGCATTTTTGTTAAATATTTACGCAATAAAATAAAATGAGTAGGAGACACTGAGCTGAAAACCGAATAGGCTCAATACTAGTTCCACATATGTCTCTATGTCAGCAGGCATGGAGTCATTGAGTCATACAGCATGGAAACAGACCCTTTGCTCCAACCAGTCCATGCCGAACATGATCCCAAAATAAACCAATCTCACCTGCCTGCTTCTGGCCCATACCCCTCCAAACCTTCCCTATTCATGTATCTATCCAAATGTCTTTTAAACATTGTAGTTGTACCTGCATCCACCACTTCCTCAAGAAGTTCATTCCACATGCGAACCACCCTCTGTGTAAAAAATTTGTCCCCATGTCTTTTTTAAGTCTCTGTCACTTTAAAAATGTGCCCCCTAGTCTTGAAATCCCCCATCCTAAGGAAAAGACAACGACCATTAACTCTATGTTTGTGCCTCATTATTTTATAAATCTCTGTCAGGTCACTTCTCAACCTCCTATGCTCCAGTGGAAAACAGTCCCAGCTTATCCAGCGATAACAAGGTGTAGAGCTGGATGAACACAGCAGGCCAAG